TGAGCTCCACCTTTTTTGCACTTCTTCTACGAGTGATGTCACTGGGGGTAGGGTTAGGGGTGGGGTTGGTGTACGCATTAAAACAGCTTACAGGAGGAGGAGCGGCAGCTCATGCTCCCCCTCGCTGGAGCTCAGCTCTTCTCAAATGGCTCTGCAGCGAGCACCCTCTCGATATAATTGCCGCCTAGGTCGCCTCTATGGAAGCGCCGGCCCTGGTCATACATACACTTACATATTTTTATGCATAAAAAACAAATATTAACCCACCTGGCCCCATAACAAAATTAAATAAATAAATAAATAAACAATAATGAGGTGTAATCTTTGTATTTTTTAATGCCTATATGTGCTAACCTGACCTGCAAAACTTCCCTCAATAGAATAACATTGTGGACCTTTTAAACATGTTCCTTTTTGCCAATGGTGTGCAATAATGTATTAGTATTATTCATATAGTCTAATTATATGTACTTATACTCTCAGCTATATAAGCACACACATATCATAATCTGTTATTTAAAAAAAAAATCTTTTCAGATATATTGTATTATTTAATTCTATATAGAATTTGTACCATTCTAATGTGTGATTCATTGCTTCTTATGAACTGTTTTAAAACTGTAAAAAAGAAGATTATAGCATTACTTGTGATAAAGGTGATACCTTTATTAATAATACATTTCTCTTTATATCGTACAATATACAACAAATTTGAGCTTTTTTCTATGCAAGTGGATTTTTTCTCACCATAAAACTGTAATCAGTTATTAAGAATAAGCGCTATTTCTAATTTATATGATCCTCTGTTCAGTTGTGTTTGTTTATAGGGCACTCCTGACCGATTTGACTGCTAACGTGTCAACGGACCGAAACACCCCGTGCCACGTGACCTTTAAACCGAAACCAAATGGGAAATAACCAGGCTTTGGTAATTGTTGGCGACACGGAAATTAAACAAGTTGTTAAATATGTCTGAAGGTTCATACTTTAAGAAATTCACTCGATTCAACAAAGGCATCAGATTGGTGTCAAAACCCAGCGATCTCGGTGAGTATGCAGCATGTTTACTTCACGTATATTCATGTTTTGTTCGCTAATATTAAAAGCAAAAAACAGACACATACACAAATGCTTCTAGTCAAAACGAATTTGTCAATTTTATTTTGCAAACTCGGTAAAAGCATCTGCTAAATTACAAAGTATAATACAGGCCAACTGTGGACTTCAAGATAAATATGACCTATTTTAGATCTTTGTAAAATGTTTCAGACCCATATGATGATGGTGTCGGTGTTCTAAGAGCTGTGTTATCCTGTGGTCACATCACTGATCCTGTGACACTGACTGACTGCTGCACAGCTCAACTGAAGGATGTGAGTCAATCTGAATTTAATTTATCATTTAATAAAAATCATATTAATGCTGAAGACTAACCAAGTGTGCTGATGCTTAATTTAGAAAAACAATGAGTTCAAGTGTCCAATCTGCCAGAAAACATGGCCATATGAAGAAGTCAGAAAACTGGCCAAACTTACACTTGATGAGCAGAAGAAGTTTGAGGAAACGCTTGGCACCAACACTGTTAAGAAGAAATTTGACTATAGGGATGTAAGTAAGCAGTTTTTTTTCAATATGATTAAGAATCTGTTAAAAAAAGGTAGTTGATTTGTCGTATTATTTGGCGATAGGACAAGACAGTAGAATTAAAAAAAAAGAAAAAAAAGGGAAATTTCCACTGACTTGAAATGTTTTTTTTTTTTCATTTTATTTTAAACACATTCAACCCAAGAGCAAATTTACTTTAATAATGCTAACTGGTCTTGAGCTAGTGTTAGCATTGCAGTGGCTCTCTGAGTGAAGCTTTCTCCTAAATGTATATATATTTTTATTATTTTACTTTTATTTTTTAAATATTCAATTCAATTAACAGGTTTGCAACAATTAGAGCATATGTAGATATTACAAGTAAATGGATATTAATATTGAACTCTTTCCACTCATTTCATTTATTACATCAAGTGAATGTGTTAATATTAAATATTTACTTAGGAAATTCTAGGTATCTTTGACATTTAATTTTTGAATATTATAAGATTAAATTTATTAGATCTTTTTTTTTTTTTAAAAAAAGTAATTTATTTCAGTGTAGGTATAGATGAGATTGGTTAAACAGATTCTTTTTGTTTTAATCTCCGCCTGGTTCAACCATGGTACAGAAGCAGAGTTTCTGCTCTACTACACCAGAATGAGAGGCTGGTTACAGTAATATTGAAGATTTTTTAAAAATTTAAAAAAAATTTTTGTACCTACAGAAAACTCAAGCTTTAAATAGGAAAATTATTAAAAGTCTTTTTTTTTTGCCAAAATGCTAATGGTCTAATCTGATTCAATTCATGCTAAGCTAAGCTAAAAGTGACCCCACCAGAACAAGAAATAGGTTGAATGGATTCAAACATGGTTCAACTTCAATGTTTAACTCCAAGAGACTTACAAAATAAGCTCTTTTCAAAGAAAGTGGAGTGTTCCATTAAAGCTAATGTTCATCTCTGTCTTTTCTCTTTTTGTGTTCAGTGTCCTGGCTGTGGAAGCTTGATTGAAAGGTCAGATCAATCCAATCTCTGTGTGGCGTGCACTGTGTGTACATCTAAGAACAGAAAGACCTTTAAGTTCTGCTGGCAGTGTAACAGAGAGTGGAAGGGCCCTGCACCTCGAGCTGATCGGTGTGGAAATGTGGGATGTAAAAGCAGAGATGAAGAACTGCTGAACTGTCCACTGATCAGTTTACCATACTTTACAAACAGTACAGTGCAGTGTCCAAAAGTCCTTAAATACACATCGTGTGGTACACTGATTAAACACAATAGTACTAGGAGTTATAACATGGAATGCCCCGAATGTTGCAATGAGTTTTGCTTTATTTGTTTAAAAGATGAACACAATTTTTACCCTCAGTGTCCACGCACACTCGCACCAAGGCAAACTGTAGCAGTTACTTAGAACTACACTGGAATCCTTAAATATATTATTAATTCTCAGTTTCTTGCAGGGACTAAAATGTGTCATAAACTGAATCCCGACGGCACCTGTGGACAATCATACAATGCTCATGCTTACAGTTGGACTCTTACTATCAGTTATTGATTTTCATTTATATTTTATGCAATTATTTATTTTAAAAAGTATTTCTTTATGTATCTTATTTATTTGTTTATATGCTTAAATATATTAAAGTTACTAAACAATTCTGTCATCATTTTCTCACACTTTACTCATTTCAAACGTTTATGAGTTTCTTTCTTCTGTTGAACACTAAATAAGGTATTTTGTAGAAATCCGGTAACCATTGACTTCCATAATATTTGTTTCTTTCTACTAAAGAAGTCAATGGTTTTAGGCTTTTTTCAAAACATCTTGATTTGTGTTCAACAGAATAAAGAAATTTATAAAGGTATGGAATTAGTTGAGGGAGAATAAATATTTATTTTAGTGTGAACTGTCCTTTTAAATTGCTTATATGAATATATGCTGGCAGCACTGCATTTAGGCTGTATATCAACACTGCTGTGCAGCCGAGGGCAGTAGATGATCACAGTTGTGCTAATATACAGCCCTAATGCAGTAAGTGCAAAAAGTACTGCAAGTAAAAGTAAATCAAATACGTAAGGAGTGCCCAGTCATGCTGATTACATTACATTTAATGTCAATTGAGGCAAAGTATTGTACCACAGTGATTTAAAGACACAAAATGAAAAGTCAAGTAGTCTGAATGGGACCGGTATCTGCCAATGTCTAAAGTTATGTAGTGTGAACTAAGCTAAATCAATGAACATTAAAAAAAAATATGCACATGCATATATGTTGTGTATGTATCTGTGTTTGTGTGTAAATCTTACACCAACCAGACAATTTTCTATGCTGTTGAGCTGTTTCAAATAAACTAAAAACTACATGCCTTACTTAATTTTACTTACTTGAAATGACTGTATGGTTTACATTATTATTCAAATGTAACATAAGTTTACTGTATAAAACACAGGTTCTTGCTACAGGTTCTCCTCCACACCACAAACAAGGTCTTTTCATCAGTGAAACATCTTGATGTTAATGCAGTAATTGAGCTTTCTCTTATTGCACAGAAAAGTCAAATATGGAAACATTGTTTGTAAGAGTGGTTCATGGGACTGTAGAACTCATTTCTGAAGAAATATGGACATATGTAACATGAAATATGGAAATATGTTATTTATATGTAGCAATATTTGTGTAGGAGCCATTTGGCAACTGTTCATAGTTCCACTACGTGGTGCTCTTTAAACAGGCTTAGGGTTAGCCTGTGGGAACGAATATTCAGGTAACAGGTGTTGCAGGACGAAAGGCAACACATACAGTTTTGACATAGATAGATATATATATTGACATAGGTATATCTTTGCAGTGCAACACCTCCTCTCCTTGATTTGGTATCACTTAGACGGGGTTCTACAGAATTTTGACTGTACTGAATAAGCATTCTCTTGAGACAAATTAAATTTACATTTACATTTACATTTAGTCATTTAGCAGACGCTTTTATCCAAAGCGACTTACAAATGAGGACAAGGAAGCAATTTACACAACTATAAGAGCAACAATGAAGAAGTACTAAAGGCAAGTTTCAGGTCTGTAAAGTCTAAGAAGGGAAGTGTTAGTAATTTTTTTTTTTATTTTTTTTTTTTATTTGTACAGTTAGTGTGATATTCAAAGAGGCAATTGCAGATTAGGAAGTGAAGTGGAGACTAAATAGTTGAGTTTTTAGTCGTTTCTTGAAAATAGCGAGTGACTCTGCTGTTCTGATGCAGTTCGGGAGTTCATTCCACCAACTGGGCAGATTGAGCGTGAGCGTTCGCGAAAGTGATTTTTTCCCTCTTTGGGATGGAACCACGAGGCGACGTTCATTCACAGAACGCAAGTTTCTGGAGGGCACATAGATCTGCAGAAGTGAGTGCAGATAAGAAGGTGCTAGGCCAGAAGTCACTTTGTAGGCAAACATCAGAGTTTTGAATTTGATGCGAGCAGCAACTGGCAGCCAGTGCAAACGGACTAGCAGCGGAGTGACATGTGCTCGTTTAGGTTCATTGAAGACAACTCGTGCTGCTGCATTCTGGAGCAGTTGAAGAGGCTTGATAGAGTTAGTTGGAAGCCCAGCTAGTAGAGAGTTGCAGTAATCCAGTTTGGAGAGAACAAGAGCTTGAACAAGGAGTTGAGCTGCATGTTCAGATAAGAAGGGTCGGATCTTTCTGATGTTATAGAGTGTGAATCTGCACGATCGAGCAGTTCTAGAAATGTGGTCAGAGAAGTTTAGTTGGTCATCAATCGTTACTCCAAGGCTTTTCACCATTTTGGATGCCGTAATGGTTGCCCCATCCATCTGGATTGAAAAGTTATGGTGTAGAGTCGGGTTGGCAGAAACTACAAGTATTTCCGTTTTTGCGAGGTTCAGCTGAAGATGATGATCTTTCATCCAGTGTGAAATATCCAACAGGCAGGCTGAGATACGAGCTGGAACCGAGGGATCATCAGGATGAAAAGAGAGGTATAGCTGGGTATCATCAGCATAGCAGTGGTAGGAGAATCCATGTCTCTGGATGACTGGTCCTAGAGATGATGTGTAGATGGAGAAGAGAAGTGGCCCAAGAACAGAGCCTTGAGGTACCCCAGTGTTTAGATGCTGTAGGTTGGACACCTCTCCCCTCCAAGACACCCTGAATGACCTGTCAGAGAGGTAAGATCTGAACCATTGTATAACAGTGCCCGCAACGCCCAGTGACTCAAGCGTAGATAGCAGGATCTGGTGGTTGACAGTGTCAAAAGCAGCTGACAAGTCCAGCAAAATGAGGACTGATGATTTAGAGTCTGCTTTATTTAGAGTCTGCTTTAAATCATGTAAACTCTTTTTATTTTAGCCACGTGTATGGTTCTCATCAAATAAACAACAAAACATCAATCACAACAAAAATAAAGGCATTTTAAAGTAAGAAACTAAATAGTCTTTCTAAAAAAAAGAATGTCAGCGACCACTTATTTAGAGCACTTGAGAGAGATGAAATAATTCATCCTGATGTCCTGTCGCTCCTAGAAGAGACTGTTGTTATGCATAGGCGGAGCATGTGTAAGGCTGGGGAAGGCTTAGCCTACCCCTGGCCAGAGACCACGGCTATAGCATTAAAGAAAAACAATATTTATTATATTTGGTATATTTTCACTCAAACCATGCCTGCTGCCAATTGTAGCTACAGATCGAGTGAAAAGCTGTTTATAATTGCTTGTTCAGGATCAGTATTTTCCACAGATATTTAAAATGATGACAAGTATGGCTGTCTCTAGACCGGCAGCACAGCTGTGGAAAAAAGATTTGCATGGATTGCGCACGTACATGTCATGCGGATAAAATTATTATGGTTATTATTTTTTAACAAGCATTTTTAATAATTAAATGTGGTGTAATAAATAACTTTAAAAAATACTGTGTTGCTCACATTAAATAACAATAATAATAAATATTGGTTTAAAAAGAATTTTATGACACCCACATCCGGCATTGACTGAAAACGCAGGTTTATGTTTTATATGCAAAAAGCTACATCTTGCTAATTTTGAGCTGGCAGCCAATTAAAATTT